GAAAATTTCCCTTTGGAATATATCGGCCCACTCCGTCGTGGTCCGTCCCATAACCAATACCCATGTGCTTATTTTTCATTTTTTTCAATAAATAGCAATGTGATTATTTCCTTGTTTAAATGGTTTCTTCTTGTCGCTATGTGTTGGAGTAATAAATAATTGGACTTCTCAGCTCCTTTGCTGACATCGCCTCTAATGGTGTCTTACTATGAAAGTAGTCTCTGAAATTATGCATAATATAGCTTTGTAATTTATTTCGTATATAACTAGTACTACTTGTTTCTTCTGGTCATATTTTTTCTGTTAAAAAGAAGGAGCTTTACGCCATGGATGTTCAAGGAAGCTCCGATACTTCTCTTCCTAACCAAAGGTACTGCTTGAAAATTCTTATTGCTCCAACTATTTATAAGGCAATTTTTCCAATAGGGTTTCGGTTTTCCTAGATAGAATATTTCCTTAGTTTCTTGTTCAGAGTTAGTTGTGGGTAGGATAAATTTCTTTGTCCTTGTCATTTCTGAGCTATTTATTTTGATTAACTGCTTATATTTTGGTTCATTTGTTATATGGTGATTGATGTTTGATGTTAGATTGGCTTTATCAAATGAATTAATTTGAGCAATTTTTTCCCATTGTTTTTCTCAAATAAGATTTATATTAGAGGATGAACTTTGAAAAATTGCCTAACCTAGAAACTGATACACTGAGAAAAGGAATTCTGTAACTAAACAGTGTAAAGCTTCTTCCGTTTTTTTCTCCCTTCTGTTCTAAGAGTTTAATTTCTTAATCAGTTCATTCTTTTCTAAGATTTAATTTGATAACTGTGTTTTTACCCGCTTTGATTGATTCTTATTTTGATGACCAAGTTGATGCCACTGTACATTGTGGATTCACATCAACTCTTAAAAGATAATCCAACTCATTCTCTATGGAGTATAGGATATCCTTTCTGCGCCAAAAACACGATTCGTGGACTTATACCCCTTTAATCTTTCATTTTTCTGAAATATGTTAAATCACTCAATTCTTTTATATAGTATTTACTTGATAACTCTATATTATCTGGTTTTTTGATAGATTCTTTATTGATTAGTTGAGATAATTTGATTGATAATACACTAAGCCTGTATCACTGCACATTGTGGACATCAAGCTTTCAGAAAAGTTCAACCAATTGTCTACAGAATATGAGATATCCATTTTACGTGAAAGATACAAATGAAACAAAATAGGGCTACTAATTATTCCCTATTACACTTTTTACCTCTTTAAAACTGCACGGAGAAGCAGAACTGCAAAGCTATGCATGATCCATGTCTTAACCAATTGCGGATCATATTGTCTTCTCCTTCTAAAGTTGAGTGCCATTAGCATAACACTACAAGATGCATACCTCATGAAGACCTTAGGAGCTTTCATTTTCCATATGGAACTCCAGGTGGACCTGGAATCACTGATATCAATCAAACAATAACAGTGTGGCTTCGCCAATAACCTCTTCATGGATGAACCTCTCCAGAATACACTGTTTCAAAAATAGTTAGAAGTATCTTTGCAAACTTCATCTATATCGTGCCATTTCTTGTCTAAGTAGGGGCGGAGCGGTGGAGGCACAAGCCAACTTATGGGTTCGGCCAAACCCAGTAGTTTTTGCTCAAACAGTATATTTGGTGTTTTGAATTCATCTAAAACCCAGTCATTAACACTTGAAATCGTGGTCCTAACATCCAGAACCCATAAGGTTGAAATCCTGACTTTGCCTACGAGTCTAAGATAGTTCACCAAGAGGATATCCTAAGATGCTTGGCATCGTATTATCGAAGAAGTTCAACTACTTTGGCTTCCTTATCATTGTAATCTGCAGCAATCAAGGAAACTAATATTTCAGAATTGAGTTCCTACATTGCATATCCAACCACAGATGTGTACGGTGGCCAGCAATCGTAGGACCAACATATCTTGAGAACTCATTCCGTCGATTCATGATTCCTTTCCGTAAAGGCCGTCCTGTACAAGGTCATGACCTACTTGTAGAATCATTCCTATTGCTGATATACATGTCTTGTGAGGATCTCCCTCTTCTATAGAGAATTCTCTTTGTAACCACACCTCCACAGCCATTTCCCCAAGATGAACTTGTTGCAGATGAGAAAAGTACGAATGTCCAGGCTTTTCCCCTCAGCTAGAGTTGTTACCTTATCCCATTCCACCAGATGGTATCTCCTTCCCCCCTTTGCCCGTCCAATGAGAAGCCTCTCATTATCTTTTTGATTCTCTTAGTTTCTAACGTAGGTGCAATGAATAAAAACGTAAAATAAGTCGATATACTTGACAGAGTTGATATAATAAGGGAGATTTATCCTCTTTTTGACTTTCTATTAAAGTTCTTTCTTTATGCTTTGTGTTCAATTTATTTGCTTGGTTCGTCTCCTCTAATGAAACTTTATTAAAATGCTTTTATATCGCATGAACTACTTGCCAAGTTGTACTATTAGCTCAAGCACAACATTTGTCTCTCATTTTTTTGTCCTTTTGGGTTTTTCTTTAGATTCTTTTGAGCGTTGGTATTGTTTCTTTTGCATTTTCTTTTATCGCCATTGGGCGAGTCGCGTTCTCTGGGTGTAGAGAAAACACCGCTGAGCATCGGAGATATTAATAATCAAATTGTAGCAATTAAAACTTGAGATAAATAAAGAGTCTTCCTTTTCCCTCTCTCCACACTTTTTCTATCTCTATTGCTCTGTTTCCGATCCTTCCTCTCCCCTCTCCCCCAAATACGAGTAATGTATTTATGTTATAAATTGTTTCTTGCTCAGCGGTTAAGATGCTGACTGCAATATGAGAGTTCTTGCTCTTCCTCCTGTATCTCTTGTTGGGGATGGTTAGAGGTTGAATTGACAGGGAAATGCTTTTCCATTTTCATGATAAGAGAACTCTCTTTCTATGAAGCTACCAGCCTGTAGTCAACTTTTTTCTTTTCCTTTTGGAATGTAATTGACTGTTACTAGCGGCACATATTAATTTCATCTGATATATCAGGTTATTGGGAAAGGTTGCTTTAGTCACAGGAGGGGCAAGTGGCATAGGAGAGAGCATAGTACGTCTATTTCATAAACATGGTGCAAAAGTATGCATTGCAGACATTCAAGATGAACTTGGACAAAATATTTGTAGTACCCTTGGTAATGACCAGAGTGCATGCTTTGTCCACTGTGATGTTACTGCAGAAGCTGATATTAGTAATGCAGTTGATCTTACCATTCAAAAGTTTGGGACACTTGATATAATGGTTAATAATGCTGGGTTGTCTGGGCCCCCTATTCCAGATATCCGTGATTATGAACTTTCTGTGTTTGAAAGTGTGCTTGACGTGAACTTGAAAGGTACTTTTCTTGGAATAAAGCACGCGGCTCGCATAATGATTCCACAAAAGAAAGGATCAATAGTATCTTTGTGCAGTGTCGGAAGTGCCATTGCTGGCATTGGGCCTCATGCTTATATAGCTTCCAAGCATGCTGTTTTGGGACTTACACAAAATGTTGCAGCTGAGATGGGAAAACATGGTGTACGGGTGAATTGTGTTTCTCCTTACGCTGTTGCAACGGAACTAGCTCTGGCTCACTTGCCTGAGGATGAAAGGACGAATGATGCACTGGCAGGTTTTCGTGCTTTTACTGAGAAGAATGCTAACTTGCAGGGTGTGGAATTGAAGACTCAGGATGTTGCTAATGCTGTGCTGTTTTTAGCAAGTGACGAAGCAAGGTATATAAGTGGGCATAATCTGATGGTTGATGGTGGTTTCTCGTGTGTTAATCACTCCCTTAGGGTCTTCAGATAGGTACATGCTTGATAAATCTTTTAAGGAACTTCAGAGATTTGTCATTTTTCTAAAAACTATTCTATTTGTGAATTTTCCATTGAAATAAGCTATGTATTTATTTTTCTAGAAAGGGAATATTTGACTGGACGAGGTGATCCAGCCGCACCTTCCAGTACGGCTACCTTGTTACGACCTAGTCTTTCATAGCAGTATGCTAAGCGGAAAAAAAAGTTAGAAAAATAATTTGAGACAACTATTTTTAGTAACTATGACTATTAATATGAGATGGGGGAGTAGTAACTTGAAAAATAAGTTAATAGCTTATTACGAAATGTAAGTAAACCTTGTACAGTATAAGTTAAATCACAAGCGCCTTGAATTAATGGAATGAAAAACATCAGTACAATGCAATTCCAACTGACTAGTGATTTCTTTATGATTTGCTTTGGAAATTTGGAAGGAAAGCCAACTTTTTTCCTCCTTAACTTTCTTTTCATTTCCCTAATTTCCAAATCCTAGGGTTAATATATAACACCACTTCAAAAGGAATTCAAATAGAGAAGTTTAAACTAGAGGAATGGTTAAGAAGAGGTTACGAATGCTGTAACTACTGACTCGTCACTTGCATTTTTATTTTTGACGATGGACTATTTTGTATGCATCTCAATTATTTTATCGGATATCTATTATCTTCTAATAGTACAAATATTATATAAACTCTAATAGCTTTGCCAATCAATTAGATAATCCAAAAAAAAAAAAAACACACACACACAAAGGCGTATCTGGATTGAGGGGTATGGATTCACGTGGAACCCATGCTCCTCTCCTTAAACTATATATAACAGTGCCATATTTCATTAAAATTATTTAAATATATGTGTGTACCCATTCTTAAAGACTCCGATGCTGCAATTGACAATATAAATCTCACTTCGGACTGTCTATATATATATATATATATATATATGAAAATCGCTAAAATTTCATAAAAGAATATAATTCTGAACATACAATTTCAAAAGTATAGTAAATTTAAGATAAGAAATTAAAATTAAACCCGTTAAATATAAATTCGAGATTTGGTGCATCCACGGTCTTGAAAAGTTGGATCCGCCTTTCTTTGGCGATGACTTTGGACTGTTATACGAAGTACTAGTGGTAATAGACCATCTCTTGTAAAGCTGTAATGAGAAACTTGGCCACATGCTATCCACAAAAGACCTTTCACTATCCACATACAATCTCCACTTTCTGATAAACAGTTAAAACCATACACTAATTTTCGCTCCTCTTCTTCAAGAATCCACACAAAAACTTCGACAAAGGAAAATGTCAGTAGCATCATCATCTTCCTTCCCATGCATCAAAATTCAAAACCCATCTTCCCCAACTCCTCCTCCTCCTTCTTCTTCTTGTCATTTCAGAGCACTCACAATAAGGAGCTCTGGAGCTGAAGGACCTTTGAGAAGACCTATGGCGCAGCCACCTACCCCTGTTAAACCTGTCCCCCCATCACCATCTTCGCCGCCGCCGCCTAGTGCTCCTCCTAAGCAGGTGACAGTGGCTGCCGTGGATGGCAAGAATGTAATTACCATGGAGTTTCAGAGGCAAAAGGCTAAGGAGCTTCAAGAGTACTTCAAGCAGAAGAAGCTTGAGGAAGCTAATCAAGGACCCTTCTTTGGTTTTATTGGCAAAAATGAAATTTCTAACGGCAGGTAATTTATAATTCAAGATAATTTGGATTAGTTGAATTGAGTGGGGAATCCATTTTATTCAGAATTGTTTTTTGTTTCTTCATTTCTTAATTGTTTGAGAGGAGTGACACTGTGTGTAGAGAGGACCAAAGAGAACCAATTTGGAAATAAACGTTCATTCATAGGACTTGCTTATCTAAATTTGAATAACCTTTTTGATATGTGAAAATATAAAGTTAGGAATTCGTAGAACAATATACTAGGTGTAGTGTTCCAAAATCATGAAATGGGTTCATTTGAAGTCTGAAACCAAGCTGGAGTGAGAAGAGTTTATTCTTCTGATAATTTGGTATTATTGACTCTTAATTGATTCTCAAAAAATCGATTGCCTTATCTACTTGGACTAAAGAGCAACAAAACAGAATCCGGCTAGAAATAGATTCAATTGGAATTAATTCTAAGTTAGCTGCATCACCTTTTCATAACGTATAGTCGTATATCAATAATTCATATTTTAGTAGTGTTTAGAAGTTTACATGATTATGATAGTATATGTAGGATCAAGCACATATGACATATTTTGTCATTGGTCTAAGTTGTTCAAGAATTGGCATTAACAAGCAGGACTTGGTGTTTTGGTTTAAGTTGGATTAGTTAAGTTTTTGTCCTTGAGAGACTTAGACTTGATTATCATTTAATCCGTTAAAGAGACATTTGGTCATAGAATATACTTGCGTACCCCTCGTAGAAACACATGCAACTGAATCTTCTTGAATGCTCCTATTAAAAAGAAGCTTCTAGGACTTTCACCGGTTACTCGAGTGACTTTAGTTGCCTGCTTGCTGCTGCATAGGATTGTTGCTTATGGAACATAATCTATACAACTCATCTTGGCTGGCTCAGTAAGATCATCATTACATGTGTATAGTTGATGTGCTTTCTAAGACATGTATTCCCCGGCTCTTTGGGATTTGATTTTCTTTAAGGTGGGTTATATTTCTTAGCCAATTTAGACAATGGAATTCTGAAGTGACGAAACAGGTGTGTTTGCTCAATAGAATGTACAACCACGCATGCAGCCAAGCTGGTTGGAGTGAGAGGTTTATAACTTAAAGACTTTTGTCTTCCTGTGACAAACTCAAATGCAGTACCCATTAGGAAATAGCGGATCTAATACCAGAACACCGGAAGGACTTTGAGGTGCATGATGATCGATTGACAATAACTCTCGTGTCCTTAACATTAGACTTAGATACTTCTTAAAGAGACACCGGAAGAGCAAAATATAAATAGGATATGATGAAAGACTTCATCTCACTTGGAAGTTGGACATCAAATGTTGGTTTATGCTGCATCAAGCATCAATATTTTCTCCCCTCCTTATATAATGACGAGGAATAAAGATTGTCATCCAAATAATACTAATGAACGATTTGAGAGTACGTAGCTGACTTTCTAAAACAGTTTTGTGGTAGAACTTCCTTTTGCCGTTGTTTATTATCAATTGGTTAGAGGTAAGACGAATAAATGGATGAGCATTATGAACTGATAATTGTATATAGCTTTGAACATAGTTTCTTATCTGATAGTAAATTGACTAACTATATTTTTACTTTGATATGACCTTGGATTCTTTTTCAGTTGACATAATAAGTGGTAACTTGTACTGATATATCTTGGTTGAACAGATGGGCGATGTTTGGTTTTGCTGTTGGGATGTTAACTGAATATGCAACTGGTTCTGACTTTGTCGATCAAGTTAAGATCCTTCTCTCAAATTTTGGGATAGTAGACTTGGAATGAGGTTCCTTCATATCAGAAAATGCCATATATAAGATACTCTCCTATGTAATTTCATGTAAAAAATTTCCAATTGCTTCAATTAATTTTCTATCTTGAAATTTCAAGTTTATTTGCTTAAGACCTTGATTGCAGTGTAGCATGACTTACACCCTCCTACTTTTGAAAGAAGAAGAAAATTTGTTGTTTTTCCATACCTCTTGAAATTAACTATTAGTTCTGCTATGTTAAATTATCTTTGGCTGATTGTATATCTACTCCAGCTCAATCAAGGCTATTAAATCTGTAGCCTGTGTTTAATGGTGGGAACTTTGGTTCTGTGATTGCTTTATCCTGAAGTAGATAGGAGTTGAATTCTCATTGTTAGCTCCTTCTCCTTTCCCCTACACCTTCCCTTGCCCCCTCAAAAGAAATACAATTATTTTGCTCTTCAGACAAACACATGTTTCTTCTAGAACAAAACTCCCACAAAGGTGTTTTCGAATTACAAGCCATTACGTTCAACATTTGTGATACTCCTCCAATTTTAATTTTTGAAATAATTACATTTGGCCCCAAAAAGATTTACGCCAAATACATATGCGTCTCCTTGAACTTGTCTCATTTTTTCATTTAGACACTTGAACTATGCCTTGTTTCTGTTAGATACGTCCAAATGTATCTATTAGACACACATTGCTTATATGGCAAAGTGTGTGAATTACACTACTTGTGATCGCGTGAGAGCTTCTTCTTTCTCTCTCTCTCCCTTCACCTTCTCCACCTGCCACCACCAAACCAATTCTTCGGCAACTAAAACAATCCATCATGTTATTCAAAGAAATGATTTTTATCGAGCAGAGGACATAAAAGTTTAACTAAGCAATAAGGCCACTAATATGAGCCATATCAGAAAGCAAAAGAGCCCCATATTTATCAACTTTGGGTATGCGCTGCCACCACGAATAATCAATTTAGGCATAAAATTTATTCCTTCTCCTCCAACCTATCTTTTAATCAGTATACCGGTTGAATCAAACTTATAAGGTAAACTCTCCAAAAAAAATTGAAGTAGCAGATATATTTTTCCCACCAGATATATAATACCCCTTTGTTAAATGCCCTCAAGATGGTAAATTTGAACTCATAATTCTATCATGAGGGTTTAAAACTTTTGGAGAAAAAGACTTAGATAGTCCCTTAAGTATGCTTATAGTAGTGTTTTTGTCCCTTATCTGTATCACTAAATAAAAATTATCCCTTATCTCTGTAAAAATGGACAACTATGGTCTAAACCTTAAATGTTGTTAAACTAAATGTGAAAAATACTGTTAAACTAAATGTGAAAAAAAACTAAAAATATATATGCGGGAAAAGGGAAAATCCCTAATTACTTCTCTTTGCTTTGGCGCCAACATCGTTTTTCCAATTACCTCTTTTTGCTTTAGCGCCAAAATAATTCTTCTAAAATCAAAGCTTCGCCATTGTTAGAATTACTGAGAAAATGGTTGAAACGTCAAACTCGTCTAGTTGTGATGAGTTTGAGGATTCCGAAAATGAAATATCAGATTTCAACCCAATGCTTGATAAGCGAGTTATTGGAAGGCAACGTGTTGAAGGTGGTAGAGATATTATTAGTGCCGAAGTTCAAAAGAAGTTGTCAAATGAAGAAGGGGATTCTGATTGTGTGAATTCTATGGACACTTTAAGCTAGGATAGTGATTCTAACAATGAGAATTTTGATTTTCCTAAGTACAAATTTAAAACCATAAGAAAAATCCCGTACTTGCTCTTGAATATACATTTGGAAACAAAAATATGCACGGAATGGAGAGAATAACTTGTATTATCATTTCAAGAGGTAAACAATAAAAATACATGTACATCAGGTGCTAACTAAGGAAACAAATAATAGAGATTCCTACAAATCTGCTATCTATATATGATTTATGTACATTGTTAAGAAAGAGCCTATATTCATTTTATAACAGTACACTGCTAAGAAAGAGTCTACACACATTTTATAATACCCCCCTCAAGCCGGAGTATATATATTGATCATGCCCAGCTTGTTACCAAGGTAATCAACTTGAGTGCCATTCAATGCTTTAATGAAAACATCAGCTAGTTTCTCTCCGGTCTTCACATAGCTAGTCGGAATCAAGTCCTCCTGAATTTTCTCATGAATAAGATGACAGTCAATTTCAATATGTTTGGCTCTTTCCATGATACACTGAATTTGAGGCAATATTAAGTGCAATTTGATTATCACACTAGAGCTTTGATGGAGTAGGATTCTTCAACCCTATTTCAATTAAAAGTTATGGTGTATCTACATTATCTCACATGTTGATTGTGCCATAGTGTCACGACCCAAAATCCCTCTTTAGGAGTCGTCATGACACCTAATCTTTTGGATTAGGTAAGCCTAACATATAGTGCGTTATTAACATATATAAACCAGTTAATTATTAAACATGAATCGAAAATTTCTATACCAAGCCAACAACCCAAAATAGATATACAACATCCCAAAACTAGTAGTACATGTAGCTTTTCTAGAGTAACGAAGATTATCAAATACATCTGTTACGTCCTGCAATATTATGTTACGATGATGTTACGCCTTGCAATATTACATTGCGATGACGTTATGCTTCACAGTATTAAGTTATGACAATGTTGCACTCTGCAGTATTACATTACGGTGATGTTACGCTTCGTAATATTAAGTTACGACGATGTTGCACCCTGTAGTATTGTATGTTGAATTTGTCGTAAGGTAATTGACATCAGTCCAAGTAAAAGATTATTTGGAAATTATAAGGATTATGCTATTTCACAAGTGATGAGTAAATTCGTGAAGGTGAAAGGGGAAACAAGTCAAAGAAAATGAATTTTCGTCAAAGTTTAGCATTTTGGGGTAAAATTTGGCCCGAGCTAAAATACCCAGTATTTATGGACTAGTGTTATATAAGGTACTACATGACCATAAGGTGTACAAGGTATGTTTAAAGAGAGTAGCATTTTAAGTAAGTTGATATAATATTTAATTATGCGGGTAATTGATTAATTACCGGGTAACGAGACATTACCTAATAAGTGGATAAAGATTAACTTTTTCCACCCCATCCCCACGTGGCAGCAAGCCACATTCTAAAAGAATGACTCTTAGTCATTCTTATTAGGTGGCAACCTAATATGCCAAATACAAGGCATTTTAATTCAAGAATTTCCATACAAAGATACTACAATGACAAGTGGGGATATTAGTTATTCTGGCGAATTTCAACAAATTCATTCTCAAGATACTACAATGAGATTTTAACATTTCCATACCAAAGACTCTACCATCAGAAGTGAATTCATATAAGCTTTCAATAAATCTCATTCTCAAACACTACAATTAGAAGTGGAGGAAATGTTGGCCATTCTTAGGAGTTTTCAACTTTTCATTTTCAATCACTTGAATCAGATTTCAAATATTACACTAAGCAACGTGATTCTTCAACCAAACCAACAAGAATTATTAGAACTTTAGCAACGTAAAAATTTTGCGATTCTAACGGAGTATGGTGCAACCTTTTTCCAAGAACATCATACAGATTTTTTTCTACTCCAGGTATGGTAAGGCTATCCCTTCTTTCTTTTTGGCATGATCTATACGACACAAACGAAACAAGCAAATGCACAAATTCGATAAATGACTCTATTCATAGAAGTATTAGAGATATCTATGTTCTTGAATTTCCATGTGTCATAATATTCTATCATCTGTTCATGGGTCTCAGAAAAATACAAAAGTTAATAAGAGTTTACTTTATGATATTACTCAAAGGCAAAATGGTCGTATGACATTCCGAAAGATTTTATTAACGTACTTTTCATGCATTGCTTTCATGTACATTGACCCATGACCAGATGACGTTATATACGCATATATATGNACTGAGATGATATGATGGGACGCCCTCAGAGGCTAATGATGTTATGAAATATGTACCTATGCACGACATGATACTCATATGCATATGCATGATACTATAATTATTTCATGATTTACAAAGTTATCCAAACTTACAAGTGGAGTCATTGACTCTATATTTCCTCTATGTCTGTTATATACTTATTTATGTGCCTTACATACTCAGTACATTATTCGTACTGATGTCCCTTTTTGCCTGGGGATGCGGCGTTTCATGCCCGCAGGTCCCGATAGACAGGTCAGCGAAAGATGTTTGTGCCCTCCAAGTAGGCTATCAGCTCAGCGAAAGATGTTTGTGCGCTCCATTTGCTTCGGAGTTGCTTGTTTGGTTGGTATGAGTTAGATGTGTATTGTTTGGTATGGCGGGACTCTGTCCTGACCTTTATGAAAATTATGTATTCTTAGAGGCTTGTAGATAGATGTCCTGTACGTAAAAGATCGTATGGCCTTGTCGGCCTATATTTAGTGTTCAAGTGGTTATTTTTGTCTTAGAGGCCCATATGTCTTATGGATAAGTTGGCATTACCTGTTGTATTGTACCTATTTCACGGCAGCCTTTCCGGCTCAGTTATTTATGATAGTATGACATAAAAAGATACGTTATGTTGGTACTCAGTTGAGTAAGGAACCGGGTGCCCGTCGCGACCCATTGGTTTGGGTCGTGAGAACATCACTATTTGAAATAGAAATAGCAGTACAAAGTAAAATTTCGGAAGGTGACTTCGAGGACTGCGAACACGACGACATGTATACCTTGAAGTCTCCACCGCGATACTCGATCAACCATCTAATGGCCAACACACTCTGAGATACCTGAATTTGCGCAAAAATGTGCAGCAAGTGTAACATGAGTATACCAGAGCGTTGCCTAGTAAGTATCAAGACTAACCTCGGTAGAGTAGTGACAAGGAATAGTCAAGACACCTACTAGACATAACAACCTGTACAAGTATGAATATAAAACTAATAGGGAACAATATCACTATAAATCTAAACAAGGTCAGAATAACAATACAATACTTGCAAATGAAAACTAGAAACAACAATTAACAACAAGGAGCAAACATGTAATAACGCCATAAAGTAGGCAAAATACAGTTAAAGTCCAGTAAAACCAAGTAAGGAAAAATAAGTAACAACCTAATAATAAATATCTCTCGCACAAGGTTTATATAAGAATTATCTTGAGGTACCACTGCTCATAATCACAAATTACGGGTCCCAAATCACGA